ATTTTTAGTTTTTGAAGGAACCTCCATACTGTTCTGCATAGTGGCTGCACCAATTTATATTCTCACCAACAGTGTAGGAGGGTTCCCTTTTCTCCACACCCTCTCCAGCATTTATTATTTGTAGACTTTTTGATGATGGCCATTCTGAGTGGTGTGAGGTGATACCTTATTGTAGTTTTGATTTGCATTTCTCTCATAATTAGCAGTGTTGAGCATTTTTTCATGTGCCTGTTGGCCATCTGTATGTCTTCTTTGGAGAAATGTCTGTTTAGGTTTTTGGCCCATTTTTTAATTGGGTTGTTTGGGTTTTTGTGATATTGAGCTATATGAGCTGTTTGTATATTTTGGAAATTAAGCCCTTGTCAGTTGCACCATTTGCAAATATTTTCTCCCATTCCATAGGTTATCTTTTTGTTTTCTTGATGGTTTCCTTTGCTGTGCAAAAGCTTTTAAGTTTAATTAGGTCCCATTTAAAAATTTTTGCTTTTATTTCTATTCCCTTGGGAGACTGACCTAAGAAAACATTACTACAATTTATGTCAGAGGTTTTGCCTATGTTCTCTTTTAGGAGTTTTATGGTATCATGTCTTATATTCAAGTCTTTAAGCCATTTTGAGTTCATTTTTGTACATGGTGTGAGTGTGTGTTCTAACTTCATTGATTTACATGTGGCTGTCCAGCTTTCCCAGCACCACTTGCTGAAGAGACTGTCTTTCCCCCATTGTATATTCTTGCCTCCTTTGTCAAAGATTAATTGATCATAGGTGTGTGGGTTTAATTTCTGGGCTCTCTGTTCTGTTGCATTGATCAATATGTCTGTTCTTGTGCCAGTACCATGGTATTTTGATTACTGTAGCTTTGTAGTATTGTTTGAAGTCTGGGAGGGTTATGCCTCCAGCTTTGTTCTTTTTCCTCAGGATTGCTTTGGCAATTCCGGGTCTTTTGTGATTCCATATAAATTTTAGGATTATTTGTTCTAGTTCTGTGAAGAATGTCATGGGTAATTTGATATGGATCACATTAAAACTGTAGATTGCTTTGGGTAGTATGCCCATTTTAACAGTATGAATTCTTTCAATCCAAGAGCATGGGATAGCTTTCCATTTCTTTAAATCATCTTCAATTTCCTTTATCAATGTTTCATAGTTCTCAGAGAAGTCAATATTCTCAAAAACTGTTTTTCCACCCCCGTTTATAGAATGTACACATACTCCTTTTAAAAGTATTACAACCTATGGTAAATATGAAGGAAGAAATAAAAATCACCTTTAATCTCACTAACCAAAAATAACTACTAGTAAACATTTTGGTATGTTTCTAACCAAGTATGTTTCTATGCATAGATACAGAAGAAAAGCTTGATCTTATTGTGTTATTTGGTTTGTATCTTACTTTTTCTAATGTAATGTCATGTGTCTGCATTTCCAAGGCATGCCATTAATAATTATTTGAGAATTTAGCTACTAATGACTGTATATCATAGTCCAATAGATGACTTTATCTTATTTTACATAAATGCCTCATAATAGATAAAGTTTTAAGTTGCTTGCATTTTTCACTACTATAAATAATGTCGTGAAAGACAATCTTGTTTGTAAATTTATATTCACATCTGCATATTTCCTTAGGATACGTCCAGCCACGTCAGTGGTTGCCTTTTAAGCAGGCTTGAGATGGACTCAAGTGTGTTTATTTGAAAAGCCGTTATGACAGTAATGTGAAGGGTGGGCTGGAAAAAGATGATCTAGAAGTAAGCAGAGGAAGATGCTATTTGAGCAATTTAGGCCAAGTGTAAGGGCATAAACTAAGTTATTGGCAGCAAGGTCAGAGAAAAGAGGAAATGATAACGATTCTTAAAGTGTTTGCTTGTTTTATGTTTATGTATTTGTTTGCATGACAGAGCTTTCTTCGAACCTGATGAAAACTACCAGCATTTTTTACATATGAATTCAGGGGTTTAGGGACCTCTAAGGTGGCTATCGTGGGTAGGGCGAAGAGGTTAGTGGGGCTTAATGGTTCTTTTCCGAAATAGGAAGTACTACGGGGTGGGGGGGAAACAGGTTTGAAGGGTTGGCGTGGGGAGGAGAAATTTATGAGCCCAGTATTAGATGGATCTGGTAAAACTGTCAGGGAGATTGTAAATTGATGTAATGGCTTAGGAGAGAGGTCAGAGCAGGATGTGAGGATGTGGGAGCCATCCCCACAAAGGTGGTGGTATTGAGACCCTGGACACAGAAGTACCCTAGAGATGAGGGTGTTTATGTGAAGGGCACTTGGGGCATAACCAGGGAGACAACCTTCTCCTAAGTAGCAGGCAAGGGGGAAACTAGAGAAGGAGCTAGAAGATAAGTACGAAGAAAACCAGAAGGGAATGGTGTTGAGGAAGCCAAGAGACACAAGTTTCAAGGAAAAAGTCATCAAACTGTCCAATGTTGCAGAGGTCAAGCACGAAAAGGACTGGAGGGCGTCCACAGGAGCAATTTAAGTCACCTGGAAATGTGGAATGAACAGATTCAGAGGAATTGTGGGGCTGGAAGCCAGATTGTAGCTTGCAGTGAGGACTGAAGGGAGCTGCGGGAGTAGAACATTCATGGCTTTTTTCTAAGACAGCGTGCTGTGAAGGGCTGGTGAGGGCCAGGTGCGAGCTAGAGTGAGATGGGACAGCAGAAGGTTCACTTTTTCTTCTTGTTTATATTCAAGAAGTAAAGCTAGATTTCCAAATTGTCATATGACCTCGATTACCTCTCCAACATTTGCTATTTGCCATGTTTAAAATCCTTTTACTGGTGATTATTTTTTTGGACATGGTATACTCTGTCCAAGCTTCCAGCAAAAGCATTGCTGCCCAGACTCCTAGCATCTTACTGCAAGTTCTGTTTAAACAAGCCAAGACCTCCATGTTTGCTCTTAGTCTCATTGGATTTTAATTAGACCCCCCTCTCAGTTTTTAAGCTTCAGCATACTAATATTTGGAGTTGCACTTTTTAAATTATAGAATATGATTTGTGTCCTTGAAGTTTGACCTTTACCTGAAGAATTGGTTGAAAATGGTAAGTGTTTAAATGTTGCAGGTTAGAGAATGTCTTGATTGTGTTGCCAAATGCTGAATGACAGAGAGATTTAATTCTAACAAGCACTAATTATAAAGGGAAAAAAAATCAAAAGATGATGTCAGCCAGAATCAAAGTGAACCAGAACAAGAAATACTTTTATTGGTTACAGAACATCAACAATGTGTGATACAGCCTTATTCACTTACTTTACTAGCAATGAAAATACTGCAGGCTGTCTCTAGGGGGTTCAGACAGGCTTGTTGAAGACATAATCATTTTGATAGGTGTTATTCGTTGGTAATATGATGCTTTGGAGTGGCAGAAAATTACTTATTTTTAGAGATATGCTAAATGTTCTTGGCTTTAAAAAAACAAAACAATATGGCAAAGATTTTATAACTTGGAAGAAGTGGATAGTCAATGCAATGTATCCACTGGTTTCTTGCTTAACAGTAAATTAGCCTATTTTTGAGCATTATTTCTCTCAGCACAATTGCTTTAAATATTTTGACATCAAAAAAAGAGGTATCGGGGCTTCCCTGGTGGCGCAGTGGTTGAGAGTCCGCCTGCCGATGCAGGGGCACGGGTTCGTGCCCCGGTCTGGGAAGATCCCACATGCTGTGGAGCGGCTGGGCCCGTGAGCCATGGCCGCTGAGCCTGCGCGTCCAGAGCCTGTGCTCCGCAACAGGAGAGGCCACAACAGTGAGGGCCCGGCGTACCGCAAAAAAAAAAAAAAAAAAAGAGGTATCACTTTTTTAGAGGTCATTGTGTTATAATAGAAAACAGTTATCCATTTAGGAGATTAAATAGAGGTTATATACGTATGCATCAATACATACATACACACACACATATATATAAATAGGCATGTGTGTGCGTGTGTGTCTTTGCTTTATAAAGACCCTGGTTATCTTTTTCTTAAGGTGAGATTTATTTTTCTTGAAGATAAGATTTTACTCTGAAATTCTTGGTCCTGTCTTCTTTCTCTTTGTTTTCCAGTGAAATTCATTATTATATCTTTTAACTCTCTTTGGACCTCTTTTCCTCCCCATGCTGTCGAGAACCTGAGGCCGTTCCTTTAATCATTCTTTCACCATTCTAGCCAGTTCTCTTCTTGACTTCTCATTGAATCTAATTCAGTCTTCCCAGGCTCAACCTCATCATTTGACATCTTTGCCACTGTACCTGGGCTGCTGAGCACTGTTAGCTGAAACTTGACAACAGTGCCAATTATAACCTCTGCAAATTCATGGTCTGTTAGGGCCCCAAGACGGCCTCTGCAATCCTCGACTGTTCTACACTTTGACCGCTGTCTTCCTATTTCCTCCCTGCCACCTGTTCCCTCAGTCTCAGAAAATAATCTTGACTTCTGTTTTATTGAGACCACCAGGCAGGAACTCCTGAACATCCTCTTCTTTTACTAACATTCCTTGTCTCACTACCTACAAATTTTCTCAACACATATCACCTTCTAGTTATTTTCCTACTTTTTCTCCTTAACTTGGTCACCAGGCTGCTCAGAAGAGTAGTGCCTTTTGTTTCCCCTTCTACCCTCTGGCTTCCATCCAAAACTGCAAACTGTTAACACCTATGAGATAGTTTTCAACCTTCACTTGATTTGACCTTTAAGGCATTTTAACATTATTCAGTACTACCTCTAAACATGTTCCTCAGTGTTCATAAAAACTCCTCACTTTTGGAATTTCTCCCACCTTACTTTCTCACAAATTCAAAGTTGCCATTTTTCCAAAATAGCAGGAAAAAATTTAAGCATTTATTGCTTTACAACATAATAATTGATATGAATGCTTATCATTCAGTATTAATTATACTTCTAAAAATTACATTATACTTTTATATATAGTGTATAAATATAACTCAGTATTAGTTATACTTTAAAAAGATAAGAAACATATATTAATTATTCCTTGGTTTCTTCTTTCCTAGTTAATGAAGGAGTTCCCTCTCCTGAGCATGTTCAACATCCATGAAAACCTTTTAGAAGCCCTTCTGGAACTACAAGCATATGCTGATGTTCAGGCAGTCTTAGCAAAGTATGATGGTAAGTCCTTGGGTACTTTTATCTACTTGAGTATTCCTCTCTTCTTGATGTATTTCAATGATTAGATCAGAAGGATCATTTTTATAGCACAGCACTTTGATGACTATCCTCTTAGAGAATTTCCACCTGATTTCCGTGGTCAGGAATCACTCAGAACCTCTGCACGTAGCATGTACCTTGCTGGAACAGCACTGACTGAGCTCCTGCTGTGACCCCTGATCGGCTGACTGTGACCACTACCTGTTGGTTATGTTGATCCTTCAAAGCAGTGGAACAGCTGGTAGCTCTTGCTACAAACCTTGTGACAGTTCAGTAATATTTGAAGATAAGATCATGGCCCTTTCATCCCAGGTCTTCTCCTCATTAGCAGAATAACCCCCATTTCTTCATGAGAGGCTTTGCCATTCTGGTTCCTCACCCATGAGCACAGAATAACATTTTGCCTCTTCTTAATAAACCAGAAAAAGTAAGCTGACATCTCCTAGATATTTGAAAACTCTTCTGCTCATATTGCCATTGTCTGTGAATTTACTATTTGATTAATTGTACAAAAATTTTCTACATAATTACCTGCCATGACTTAGCTTCTGGAATCTCTGCAGAATTTCATACTATTCTGCCATATTTCATTGTCTCCTGAAAACAAATATATTTGCTTATAAAATGGATATTAGGGAGTGATTACTTATGATCATTGTTTACTTTATAAAATATTTTTTCTTAAGTAAGCACCTTTAGTGCATTTAAAGAATTATTCAGGGGGAGTTCCCTGGTGGCACAGTGGCTAAGAATCCACCTGCCAATGCGGGGGACACAGGTTTGAGCCCTGGTCCGGGAAGATCCCACATGCCGCAGAGTCACTAAGCCCGTGCACCACAACTACTGAGCCTGTGCTCTAAAGACTGCGAGCCACAACTACTGAAGCCCACGCTCCTAGAGCCCGTGCTCCGCAACAAGAGAAGCCACGGCAACGAGAAGTCCGCACACCGCAACAAAGAGTAGCCCCTGCTCGCCTCAACTAGAGAAAGCACGTGCACAGCAGTGAAGACCCAACACGGCCAAAAATAATAAATAAATAAAATTAATTTATAAAAATAAAAAAATAATTATTCAGGTCAAAATAGTCATCAAACATATAGGGCAAACTATACTATTTGAGTCTTATTTTTGACCTACAGTTCTTCATAAGGAATCTCTGAAATAGGCTAGAGTTGTTACCCCTGCAGTTGGAGGAACTGAGGCATCATGAGACTGTTTTTGTTTTATTTTATTGTTAATTCTTGCTCAAACTGATGGAAACTAAAACCCGTCCGCCAGTGATGGCATCACTTGGCCTGTACAAACATGAGCACCCTGTGTAACAAGATATACGCTACCTAATATGGAACTGATTTTAGAAAGAGACAAAAGTATTTGTGGCACACTTTATAGTAAACAAAATAAAGACTGTTTGGCCTTCATGTCAGCTCACTTTTGTTCTCTGTTTATATGTGGAATCTCTGTTGGGATGACCTTGGGAGTCTAAGCCAGGAAACTACCTTAGAGGCAAAATGCTCATACATTACAGGCCTTTTAGTACCAGCAGAACCCAGCACATGGGTTCAAGTGGCCATGCACTTTTCCACATGCCGCCCCGTAGCCATCAGTGTCATGGCAAGGTTCCAGCGTTCTCATCCCCAGTGCCGACCTGCCCTTAGCCTGATACATCAAGGCTTAAGAAAAGATTTAACCAACAGAGCCTTTGGGATCTCAAATCTCCTAAGGCTCCTTTCATGAAGATTTTGGCTCATTACAGAAATCATCAGCTTTGTGTTACGAGACTGAGCGTAAAATAAAGAAATGAACTCATTTGGAGCTTTCTGTTGTCTCTCTCTATCCCTTTGCACAGCCTCTGTTCCACAACAGCCAAAAGCTGATTTTTTAGATTCTGATAACGTATGTCCACATTATTCGTTACAAGAGCTTGTCCCACCCTCCACTAAAACTTGGCTCTCACTTTGCAAAATTCCTTTGTTGCAAATGGACAGACTCACCATACCAAGGCCCTTGTGTTGAGCTTTGTTTATGTTTGTACCTGGCAACAGAGATGATGTTCTTATTCATTATTCATGGAAAAAGAGCCTCATTAGTGGCAGGACACATACTGTTGCTGAGATACCTCGTTAGGGGTTTTAAGTTCAGCAGTTGTCAATAGACTGCAGATGACCTAACCCCAGCTGAATTCTGGAGGGTGTTTTGGTACAGACTTGGCTTAGGCCAGTGTCATTTACAGTAGAACTATAATGAAGTGGCTGCTGAAGTTACTGTTGCTTGAGGAGTGAGCTGCAACCACACAAGACTATTAAACACGTGCCTCTTCTTCCTCACCCCGTACCATAAAATGGGCTCTTTCAAGTTCATCCCTGCTGCTTTTTCTGGAGACCCAAAGGACCTTGACCCAGTTCCGGTCCCATTTTCTGCCCCTGTGTTAGAAAGTGGGTGCTTCAGAGGGCTTGGAGTACAGACAGCAATGGGGGTGCCCTGTTCTTCACCCTGGTTCAGATGTCATCACCCTAATCCATGAGATGCTGGAGACAGCACTTTGAATCCCAGCCTCACCATCCCTCGCCATCGAGCCACACCCAAAGCAGCAGGATTATATGTTATCTTTGCAAATTGGAATGCTCTGGTTTGGTAGCTGTTTCTTGGATGTTTTATGGGTACAGCCATCCTTCTTTATTACATTTGCTAGGTAGCTGAATTTTTTTAAGTAGTATGTTGGGAAGTGACACAATGGGATTAGTGCTGCTTTTCTGACCTTTGCAAAAAGGATTTAGAAATACGATAAAGCATGGGGGAAAAAACAACATGTTCTGAGGAAAGGAGGAAGGCAACCTGTATTCCCTTTGCCTCATTCTTCTCCACTTTTTTATTTGCTTTGACTTTTAAAAGTGACATTTACAAAGTCCTTTTACAGTGAAGCCCTTTGGCAACCCTGCATTCTTAGTAGGATTACCAGGTAACTGATCATACCTCCTTGTAAACTGCAGTCTAATTTTGATTTTTTCCCTTGAGATAACTTCTGATCTTATATTATTCTAGCCATTAGTCTGAAATGCTGTCTTGCCAGCCTCAGGAGTTTTCATGCTCTTCTAGTTTCAATTTGTTAAACAACATTATGGGTGGGCAGTTTTTATCCAGGTGATTGGTGTTGGTTTTGGAGTGTCCTTCACACAATAACTAAAAAAACAGCTAGCATTGAGTTCTTATAATGTGTCAGGGTCAGACGTGGTTCTAAGCTCTATGTGGATGGACTCATTTATTCTCACCACAAACATATGAGGTAGATACTATTATTAGCCCCATTTTACAGCTGTGGTTACTGGTACAGAGAAGAGTTAAGTAATTTGCTGAAGTGAAGAGCCTAAGATGTCAAGTAAAGCCCTGGAGATGTTACGTTATGAGAGCAGAGATAAACTGAGAACAGTCTTTGTTCAATAAGATGTGAATTCTACGAGGAAAGGAAAGCCAGGATAAAAGCTGAGGTGGTCTGACCCCTGGCCCGTGCTCTTAACCATCATCATACTTCCACTGGTCTCTGCTCTTGGCGGTATCTTTTATTGTTTTTATTAACACTGTTCTTGTTGTTATTATCAGCTACAGTTTGTTGAGAACCTACCACGTGCCAAGCACATTGCACACATTACCTATAACCCTTACAGTGTCTTTGCAAGGAGGTAGTTATTCCATTTTAGCAGATGCAGAAACTGAGGCTTGTGAATTTAAGTAACTTTCAAGACCACATTCCTTGAAAACTGTAGAACTGAGATGCAAATTCAGGTTTAGCTGGCTTTAAAAGCCCATGTGTTTTTCATAAACGTAAGCCTTGCTGAAGTGACTTTCACTCCCTCTCTCACTCCTCTTACAAAGGCATGAATTAGGCGGGCAGGAGCCGTGGTGCAGAATTTCAGTAATGCCAAATTGTCTTTTAAGATTCTTTTAAAATCGTTCCTTAAGAATTGGGCATATCGATATTTGCTTATCTTTCTGAAACCATCTTCAAAATATGTCTTTCTATCTTCAACATGTACCTGATTTCTTTAGTCACAAAGGGGATTTGATGTATGGTGTCCATTTAATTGGAGATTTATCTTTTTTTTTTCAGTCATACATTAGCTATAAAGACAGAAATGTTTTTTAAGATCATTAAGTCATCAGAACCTTCTTTTCACAGCCATTGAGAAAGTTGTTGCAAGCTTTGGATTGCCTTTCAAAGAAGTTTATAGGCCACCTAGGTTGAAAGCTTAAGTCTCAAAGATTAGGGTGGGAATGGGGAAAAGAATTCATGCGTTTCTTATTCATTATCATTTGCCCATTTCAATTTTAGAAGAATCTCACAGAGCAAGTGAATAGGAATGTGAGTGCTAATTTTGTGAGCATTTCCTTTGTGAGTGTCTAGTTCTGTCTCTAGTTAGTGATCCCTGAGGATGCCAAAGGCAGCCCTGTTGGTGGGGAAGACCTGCTGAGATCAAGTCCCAGCTCTGCCTTTCACTGGCTGAGTGAACTTCAGCAAATCACTTAACCTTCTAAGCTTCCATTTCTTTCTCTGGAAATGGAATTGAGGCTTAGAAAGCCTAAGTAACTTGCCCAGGATCACGCAGCCGGGAATTTGTTGTGAGGATTAAAGCGGTTAATCCATGGTAAATGTTTAGAGCAGTGTGGGCCATACAGTAAGAATTCAGTAACTATTAACCATTATAAAGCGCTAAGGTGACCACTCCTGAACTTCACCTCTGTTCTCAATCCGTTTTGTTCAAATGGAAAACCATACATAAAATGTCAGTTAAAATGAGAGCATAAAAGCCCAGTCTTTTGCCCCCCCCCAAAATTGTTATGGCCTGTTATTAAAATTAATTTTAGATCTCATAGGACATATGTGTAGATATTTGGTAAGAATGGAAATGCTTAGTTTTATCTATAAACAACTCTAACATTTGGAAAGCTGAAAAAGGAAAAATGCC